AATGAAAATTTCAATTGCATATGCAAAGATTCCTTTTATGCTGATTCCTTAAGTTCCTGCACTCCTTGTTAACCATTATGTGCAACTTGTGACCAATATGGATGTTTGACATGTTTAGATACAAATCAGATATTAATCAACAATTAATGTTAATTTTAAAATGGATATTACATGAAAAATTATTCATGTCATGAATGTTAAACACCGTGTCTAAATTGTTCCTTAAATGCTCATAATAGTCTATCTTGTCTTGATGATATTAAATATATTTTAGAATAAAACTTATGTAATTGTAGAGATGGATATTATTTTAGTGAAAATTTATACCTTAAATGTTATCTTTAATGCTAAACTTGTGTAGATGATATAAAGTTGGATCTTACATAATGAAGAGTTTAGATGCTAATTATGTAAATTTGAGTGTTCTATCTGTTATTCATAAGAAAATTGTACTGAATGTTAAAATAATATTACCTCTATAAGATAGAATTATATTTAAATTGCATTGAGAATTGTAAAAAATGTTCAGATTTTTAAACTTTGTGTTTAATATTAAGATGTATATATCTTCATAGGGTAAGTAATGTAAAGAATGTATAAATGTAAAACAAAAGATTTAAGTGGAAGGGATTTATGAAAAATATGATTGGTTTAATATTCCAGATTGTAATAAATGTGTAAATTAATCAGATAATTGTATTTTTTGTAATGAGAAATTTGATTTAGTTGTTAATAAATGCATTTGTAATTAAGGATATTACAAACATAATTCTGATTTTTTTAAATGTTAATTTACATGTAAAATTTGCATTTCCTAATAAACTTGTACATAATGTTCTTAGATCTAAAATATATTATTCTTGAAAAGGTTCTTGAGTTTGTTAATAAGGATATTATTTATGTAATGAAAACTAATGTTTAGAATGCAACTTGAGATACAAATCTTGCACTTCATAAACTGAATGCACAAACTGCTTTATTGAATAGAATAGAATTTTACAAAATAAAGATTGCATCTGTAATTCTGGCTATTTTGAATCTGAAAATTATCAGTGTTTTTCATGTAATTCAATTGATGGTAAAAGCAAGGAAGATTGCAAATATATAGATTGTACTGATAAACAATGGACATATGGAGAATATTGCGATGATGGAAATACAATTGAAAGAGACGGATGTACCAATTGTAAAATAGATCCCAATTATATATGTATCAATAATATACTTGAACCTTCAATTTGTTAAAAATGTAGTGACAATTGTAATTAATGTGATTTTAATTACGCAATAAAGGCCACTATTTATACTGAATGTTAGTAAGGATAATCAGTTTTTGTTAAATGTGCTCAAAAATAATGTCTATAATATAGTGTATCTAACTTCATTCCGATTTAAATAAAATAACTAAGGGTAGTGTTTAAAATGTAAAGATATTGTTGGCTTATACTCTAATTTTGAAAATAACACATGTTATTATAAATGTGGAGATTTAATAATGAGTCTCGATGAAGAATGTGATGATAGTAGTATGTTAAATGGAGATGGTTGTGATCGCACATGTAGATTAGAAAAAGAATTTATCTATAAAGATTCTGTTAGTATCAAACAGATTTACCAATATCAATTTTAATATCAGCAGGTGATCAATCTATATACAATAATGTTAGATTAGTTTAATTATCATACAACATGTTCATAAAATTGAGCAATGATACAGATTATATTAAGGATGTTGAAGTAATCATTCTAAATTATTAAGAAGAAATAAACATAAAGTAATACTGTGACATTACCTCTGATTTGAAAATTGTTATAATATTGAATACCAATATTTTATTTGTAATTAATCCAAACTCAACTTAACTGTTACTTTTTAGATAACATTTCATTAAAGCATAAAGAAATAAGACCTCAAAATTAGCTTTACAAACCTTTCTCATTTTAAATCAAGTGATGATTATATAACTAATAGGTTTTTTTATTATATCAATATAATAGATTGTAAAGACTAATAATTATTTTTGAAACTCTAACAACCTAAATTGCTGAAATTCTTTTTGTTGATGTAACTACAGTTGAATAAGTTGAAATGCCTTCTTCAAGCAATTAATATATTTTGTATGCTATTGGAACAATAAGTGGAACTGCTCTTCTATTTGGAGGGTTAGATATTTTTTATAATCTTCTAGATACTATACAAATATTGTCATATCTAAAGTATATTGATTCTTAATTTCCGTTTAATTTATAATGAATTTGTACAAATGAATTTCATTTAAAAATATTTCACTATTTATGACCTTTTTAATCTATGTCCGATTAATGAAAACTTTAACAATATTCCACTCAAAATTAAATAAGATGATTTAACACCTCTGTTTATAATAAACAGTGCAACAGTTATTTTCATTTGGTTTACTTAAATTCTGATATACATTGTTTCAAAAAAGATTCCATACTACTAACATCGACTTGATTTCAAATATAGTTTAAATTTAAATGAGAATATTCATAATATGATGATATACCAAATTAAAAAACCAGCTTGATCCTTAAAATTAAATTCCTATTGTTAGCTATGAAAATATCAATAACAAGTTTTTGTCTAAAAGTTTTAAGAGAATTGTTTTGTAGTGGAATCTATAGAGTTCTGATTACAACCGCTTATGATTATACTTTTATAATAGTCCTTTAATTGTATTCATTAGACATAATGTTACATAATATTTAAATAAGATTAAGCTAAATACTTGCAGTGTTAACATTTTTCTTCTACTTATTTATTATTTTCTTATAATAAAGCTGAGTAGTTAAAATAAATATACATTTTGCAAATTACCAAAATCACCTCAAATATGGAACACTGTTTGAGGGGATTAAGTAGAATAATGTAGGTTAATATTTTATTATGAAGTCCATCTTTTTTAGATAATAAATTTAATTATTTTTATCTCTGTACAAGCTTATTTCTTACTTTCATTTGAACCACTTAGTAATTATAAGGAATTCATAAAACAATTTAGCTGTGAATTTAATATTACTATCACATTTTTATTATTATTGATATTAAATTTGAGTAAATAATTAAGATTATTGACAGGAGATATGAAAGTTTATTTAAGATTGAGTTGTATTGCAAGTATCACTGCTTTTTATTAATATAATTAATTTTAGATGCTATAATCTGTGTCTGTCTAAATTCATTAGCTATATTCAACAATGGATATTTCTATTATAAAAGTATAAAAAGTGAAAAAGATTTATTAATAATTTAAAAAATTATTTAAACCAACCTTATTAAAAGTAATAGATCATAACATATTTACAGCATTTGTTACATTATGTTAATTATATAAGAGCATTAAAGTTATATTGATGTTCCATAAAATATTAATAAATTTTAAGAATATTTAACAGTTTATTATTATATATTATTCTATTATCATTTCAGAATATTATTCTTTTTATTAAGTTTAATTTTATCAATTTAAGCTTATAAAATGGTTAGTAATTTAATAACTGAATTAACATAGATTAATTAATTAATGTTTAAGACTAAAAGCCTTAGGTTTTGAAAAAGAATCAGAATTTCGACTAATAAGATATTCCACTTAAATTATTTATTGTAGCATCAATCTTCAATTAATCAATATACTTGTTATCTCTAACATCAAACCCTATTTAGCATTGCTTTTTGTAATTACTCATTTATATCTTAGCTTCATTTGATTTCAATAATTATTTAAATCTCCATCTTTTATTTTTTTGAATAGTATATTTTCGCCTTTCTATTCGTACTGAATTCTGATGGTTTCATTAGTTATGTTTATTATATTTTGATATTGTTTTAGAAACTCTTTTGTATCATTTACATTTTGTATATTGGCATTTTAATCTCAGCATTCTTCTTTAAAGATATAATAATATTATGTTAAAGTATTTAATTATTTTTTTTGAAGTTCATAATTGAATTTAAAAGAAATATTTGCAGTAAAATCAAATATAGTTCAATTTATCATTGCCATTAGTTTAATAAACTTATTCTATTCCTTAATTATTTGATAAATTAAAAAAATTAACTTTTTATTATTTTAATTTATTTTATTCTAAATTTACAACTTGAACTACATATTCAAGTTCCTATTCTTTCATCTTTGTAATAATTTTATACACAACTCATCTAAAAATGATATGTTTAATCTTATCTTACGATGAAACTCTTTTAATTCCCTTGCCGATAAACATTATGAATCTAAGGCTTACAAGATATCTTAGTATAAATAGTTTTATTATTCTTTTTTAGATTT